CTGTTCTTCAGCTCTTCAGCTCAAGGCTGGTGCTCTATAACTTGAGCTACAGTGCAACTACTGGTTTTCTGGTGGTTTATTGGAGATAAGAATCTCATGGATCTTACTGCCTGGGCTGGCTTTGAACCACGATCCTCAGATCTAAGCCTCCTGAGTCCTAGGATTACAGGTGTAAGCTACCAGCACCCAGCTTTCAGTTGGTTTCTTTCCAGCTTTAGAAATAGAAACATGTTCTCTTTTGCTTTCATGTTTTGAACATGTTTCTCTGATTTTGGTGACCTTTTTCTGCAATGAGATCTTAATGTGCACTCTGTATGAGTTGAGTTTTCTGTGTTTCCTAACACATTTTGAGTATAATGGCATTCTTCTTCCATGGAAATGAACTGTAGTTTTTAAAAATCACGCCAGCACACATTCATTCTATCTGCTTCTAATCTCTCCCTCTGTCCCACTGGCTTAATCATCTATTCATGCTGCAGTACAGGCTTTCATTAAGCAGCCTTATATCAAGTATTAGTGCTTACTAAGAAAGCCACATATGTTTTTCATTTTCTAAATTTTGTGATCATCATCAGTTGTCCTTTATAAAATGCAGTGTCCTTTATTTGGTGCAGTGTGGAGATGAGCAGCCAGTAGGTGTCTGCCTATTCCTTTAGATGTATCAGAGCAAGTGAGTTAAGGAGAGCATGTGCAAATCCTCTCAGATCTCTGGAGTGGTCCACTTCACAAGTTCCATCACTTCACAAGTCTCAAAGGACTCAGCATTGGAATAGCATCCTGCTGGGAATAGACAAGCAGCAGAGCCACCTAATGGCGGAGTTGCTTCAAAGCCAGAATTCCACCACAATGAGGAGGGCAGAGCTGTGGATCTCATGAGTCTTTCCCTGGAGGCTGAGTGCTAGTTTTTTTCTGAGTAAGAAGTCTTTGTTAGACTTTAGGTAAAGTCCAAGTTTATTTGGGAAACAGTGCAGTATTAGCAACTTTATTAGTTTAGTTCTCCATCTTTCTACAGTGTCAAAGTCCAAACCCATTGCTTAATGATTCTGCCAGTAGAGGGCATGCTTCTCTCCAAGGCAAAGGTCAAATCATCCTTATATACATATATATATGCATTTATATGCATATATGTATATATATATATATATATATATGTATTTTTAAGTTTTTTGTCAGTTATGGGGTTGAACTCTGGGCCTGGGTCGCTCAAGGCGAGCACTCTGCCAGTTGAGCAACAGTGCCACTTCTGGTTATCTGGTGCTTAATTGGAGATGAGTCTTATGGAACTTCCTGCATCTGCTGGCTTTGAACTGTGATCCTCAGATCTCAGCCTCCTGAGTAGCTAAGATAACATGAATGAGCCACTGATGCCTGGCATTATTTGCAATATTAATCAGTATTATTCTTTTTGTTGTTGTTGTTGGTGGTGTGGTCAGTGAGGCTTGAACATAGGGCCTGAGTGATGTCCCTGAGCTTTTTTACCACAGGCTAGCACTCCACCACTTTGAGCATCAGCCACTTTCCGTTTTCTGATGGTTAATTGGAGATAAGAGTCTGGTGGACTTTCCTGTCCAGGTAGGTTTTGAACTTTGATCCTCAAATCCTGCCTCCTGAGTGGCTAGGATTATGGGTGTGAGACACCAGCATCGGGCTTTAATAATTTTTGTTTGTTGGGTAAATCTGCAGCGGCAAGTGGAGCTTTCTGTACAAAAGTGTGTGCATCCACTCTATCCACCATACATTTTCTGTTTGTCCTTACTGCACCTGCTGTATAGTGTCTAACTGCAGATTGCGCCTGGCTGCACTGCCCATGGCTCCTGCAGTCTTGCCTGCCCTCCTTCCTGTGTGTGCATGTCTGCTGCTGGCCTCAGGCTCTGCCCAGGCAGGCAAGCTGCTGGTGGTGCCCATGGACGGCAGCCATGGTTGTCCATGCGCTCTGTGGTGGAGAAACTCATCCACCGAGGGCATGGGGTCATGGCGGGCATGCCCAACGTGAGTTGGCAGATCAGTAGCCTTGAACGAAAGCAGCTCAGGGACAGCACCCAGGAACGGAAACCAGGCCCCAGATGTGGCAAAAAAGTAAAGAATGAATGCGGAGTAGCATTCCATTTTCTACTAATACCGCTTTCTTCCGGCACTCATCTGCCGTTGGACACAGATGAGGCTTCTTTCACGGAGCTATTGTGGATTTTACTTCACCGAGCATGGGCTGCTTGGGCATGGTTTTGCTAAACAGATCACAAACATTTTGACGAACAGTGAGGTTGTTGGGTGGTGTAACTCTGCTGTTAGTGTGGAGGGATCTCCACGCAGGTTTCCACGCGGGTATACCAGTTGTCAAGCTTCTCAACCACCGACAGGAGCTCTGGCTTTGCACATCTTGAACACGGGGCCTGGCGCTTCCTCCCCGGAGGAGGTCGGCCGGGCGCGGGACCAGGTCCGGCCGGGAGCTGGGGCCGGTGTGCGCCGCGCGCCTTGGTTCTGCCGCCTGGGCCGTGCAGACGGGCCCTCGTTGTCTGCCGAGCACCGTCGCCCCGACGTGGTTTCCCGAGGAAACCCGGGGCCGGCGTCCCCGCCCCGCGAGCCGGTGCTCCTCGCTCGGGGCTCACTTCCTGTGGGCCGCTCGCGTCGGTTCGGGCCAGCCTTGAGCAGAAAGAGCCGAGGGGCGGCTTCCAGGCCCGCGTGCGAGCCCGTGTGGCTCGGGCTCCGGCTCTCCCCCCTCTCTCCCCCCTCTCCCCCCCACCCCCTCCCTTGCTCCCTTACCCCCTCCATCCTTCTCCCTGCCCCTGGTCCCTGTCCCGCCCTCCCAATCTCCCTCTCCCCCTCTCCCCTTCCTCCCCTCTCAGTTTTGCCAGGCTGTCGGTGGTCTGAGCATGCTGTTTTCCACCAGTTTGTGGTGAGATTCAAATGGGCTTCCCAAATCATCCTAGGATGGGAAGATCCTGTGGATGGCTTGGTGTGATTTCCCCTCCATACTGTGTGTCCACGAAAGGCGTCTGCCAGGTGTTTGGTGAATTTGGAGACAGTAGAGGGGCCACCAGGTCATGATGAGATGATCTTAGCTTTCTGTCAGATCTGGGCGCCATCCAGGTGGTTCCAGCTTACTGTAATGGGACAGTTGGGAGTGGCTAGTGGAACTTCCTGGGCGACAGGGGAGTAGAGTTTCCATCATGCCACCATACAGACAATTTCCTGAAAGTTCCCAGTCACAGGGACAAGAGGTGATGTGGCAAATGCGCTGGAAAAGGCCATCCTGTGCTCCTAACCGGGAGCAAGGCCCTTCCTTGGCTGCTTGAGGAATCGCTCACTAAATGGTCCTCAGGTGCCCTAATGTGTATCACTGGCCTCACCTAAAGCTTTCTAGAAACCTGCCTCTGTGTAGTTGAGTCTAAGGCCACGAACATTTCTTGAACATGTGCTGTGAACAGAGTGTAGAGGGGATACTGTGGATGGAGAAGCCATAACGAATATGAACACGAGGCTGTCAAAGATTGGCTCCAAGAATGTGAGAAGGAAACTCAAGTAAATCCAACGAGGGTCCTGGGAGTCATTGTGTGAACTCACACCAGAGGACAAATCTCTAGATGGGATAATGAAGGAAAGAGAAAGGCATTTCAAAAAAAAAAATCTCAGAAAAACCTGAAACTAAATAACTACTTGATGCACTGGATTTATTAGGGGAGATTAATTTTTTTAAAGGTGATTGTAGGCAGGCTGCTGGTGGCTCACACCTGTAATCCTAGCTACTCAGGAGGCTGAGATCTGTAACTCTTAGTCCCAAGCCAGCCCTGGCAGGAAAATCTATGAGACTTTTATCTCCAGTAAACTACCCAAAAGCCAAAAGTAAAGATGTAGCTCAAGTGGTAGAGCAGTAACTTTGAGCACAAGCAGCTCAGGGTCAGGGCCCAGACCCAGAGTTCAAGCTTCAGCACTGATAAATAAAAAAATAAAAAAAATAATAAAGATGATTGTAACCTAGGAATACTGTGTAGGGCAGGTTAATTTTCTCTACTCATTAAAGAAGCCAAAGGCAGGAAAGTGTGACGGTAAACTAAGTTTATTTGAAAGTGAAAGGAGAGGCTTGAAAGCAGGTAAGGAAAGTCTCCAGCCGCAGAGGCGCCTGAGAGGAGTTCATCAGAGTTCCGCAGAGGACGGTGTTATAGTACAGGGTCCTGCCCATGCCTCCTCCCTTGGCCTTTGAGTTGCCTGAGAGCTTGTGCTCGTGCCACGCTGGCTCCTTTGATTAGGTGAGAGGACACCCAGGCCATTGAACAGTAGCTGGAGGCATTATGGGAGAATAAACACCATGTGGGGCACCCGTTGTTGGCCATGTTTTATGCTTGCCAATTTTTTCTCTGTCTCTTCCTAACAGTTCCCCTTTCTGTCCCCCAATACCTTGGAAGCCATGGAAGAGTCCCAGTAGGAGAGTTGTCAGGCTTTCCCAGCACTGAAGGAAGGCCTTGGAAGGGTTAGGAATGGAACATGTACTGTGCTACAAATAGACCCAAATAAACAGGGATGGCTGTCCATGACAGTGTCTGTAAAGAGCAAGTCCATTGCCAGTGAAGGGCTTGGAATAAGGAACCTGAAGACGTTCTTGTAAAGCTGGGAAGCATATTTGTTTCTGAGCAAGGAAAGTTGTATAATTTGAAGATAACATCCAATAATTACTCTTGGAAACGTTCCAAAAGGCCAGAATTTGTCCCAACTTCCTTTTCTTTACTTTCTCTGAGCTCTCCAGGACCCAAATCACTGCTTATATCTGTGTATTTAAATTACAGTGCTATGCATGATTATCTCCAAGGCAAAGGTCATAAAAAATCTGGAAAATATACAAGTAGAGGTATCAGCAAGTGTTAGAGAGATATTAGTTCATGAATTATTTCCCTGAGTAAATCATTGCCAGTGGGTGTAACATTGTTCAATGGATATAAAAATGCACTCTCTCTTCATTGCTGCTTTCTGCCCTACCTGTTTTTCCATCTGCTATGTTTTAGGAGCACAGTATCTAAACAGCGGGCTTGCTCCTGGCTGCTCTCACCATGGCTCCTGCAGTCTTGCCTGCCCTCCTTCCTGTGTGTGCATGTCTGCTGCTGGCCTCAGGCTCTGCCCAGGCAGGCAAGCTGCTGGTGGTGCCCATGGACGGCAGCCACTGGTTGTCCATGCGCTCTGTGGTGGAGAAACTCATCCACCGAGGGCATGAGGTGGTCACTGTTGTGCCAGAGGTGAGTTGGCAGCTGGGAAGCTTACTGAACTTCACAGTGAAGACGTACTCAACTTCTCACTCGCTGGAGGATTTGGACCGGGAGTTCAAGGTTTTTATTGACACCCAGTGGAAAAAGAAGGAAGAAGGTATCTTTTCTTTAGTAAATGGCTCTTCCTATGGATTTTTTCAGTTGATTTTTTCACATTGTAGGAGTTTGTTTAATGACAAGGAATTAGTAGAATTCCTAAAGGAGAGCTCTTTTGATGCGGTGTTTCTGGATCCTTTTGACATGTGTGGTTTAATTGTTGCCAAGTATCTTTCACTCCCATCTGTACTGTTCTCTAGGGGAGTATTTTGTCATTACCTTGAAGAAGGAGCTCAGTGTCCGGCTCCCCCTTCTTATGTTCCCAGAGGTCTCTTGAGTCTCACAGATGCCATGACTTTCCAGGAGCGAGTGTGGAATTATATAAGTCACTTGGCAGAGCGAATGTTTTGTCCGCTCTTTTACAAACCTGTCTCAGAAGCTGCCTCTGAAATTCTTCAAACACCAGTCACCGTGTCTGACCTGTTCCGCCAAGTGTCTATTTGGTTGTTGAGATCTGACTTTGTCTTGGAGTTTCCCAAACCTGTGATGCCCAACATGGTGTACGTGGGTGGAATGAACTGCCACCAAGGAAAGCCACTGCCGAAGGTAGGACTTCTCTCCTTGGCTCATTGATCATGACCAGGCTTTGGACATTGATTGGTGTGTTCTTTATTTTTGCTGAAACTATACCATCTTCCTGCTGCAGCTTGATAATTTTTCTTCCTTTTATGATGTTTTTATGTGTGACCATAGTTTACTGTGGTTTAAGTAGATTTTATGTAGCTGCCCTCATTATCTGTACATATGTAGAATTGATATAATTTCACAATACTACCAGGCTGCATTTATAACTTGTTTTTTGTAAACTCTTTAAATATGAAATGTGCCCCTTTACTTATCCTATGTTATATGTACAGGACAATCTCCGCTACCCATTTAAAAATAACATTATGTATAAACCCATTTAAAAATAAGATTATGGCTGGAATGTGGCTTACTGGTAGGGTGCTTGCCTAGCATTCATGAATCTCTGGGTTTGATTCCTCAGTACCACAGAAACAGAAAAAGCTGGAAGTGGTGCTGTGGTTCAAGTGGTAGAATCCTAGCCTGAGATCCTCTCAGACAGTGCTCAGGCCCTGAGTTCAAGCCCTAGGACTAGTAAAAATAAAAATACAAAAAAATATTATGGCCTGGGCACCGGTGGTTCATACCTCTACTCAGGAGGCTGAGATCTGAGGATCATGATTCAAATCCAGCCCAGGCAGGAAAGACCTTGAGACTCTTTTTTTTTTTTTTTTTGTCGGTCGTGGGCTTGAACTCTGGGCCTGAACGCTGTCCTCAGCTCTTCAGCTCAAAGTGAGCGCTCTACCACTTGAGCTACAGCACCACTTCCGGTTTTCTGGTGGTTTATTGGAGATAAGAGTTTCATGGACTTTCCTGCCCGGGCTGGCTTTGAACCGCGATCCTCAGATCTCAGCCTCCTGAGTAGCTAGGATTACAGGTGTGAGCCACAGGTGCCCAGCAAGACCATGAGACTTATCTCCAACAAACCACTCAGAAATCCAGAAGTGGCACTGTGGCTCAAGTGGTAGAATGCTAGCCTTGAGCTGAAGAGCTCAGGGACAGTGTCCAGGTCCAGAGTTCAAGGCCCACGACCACCAACAACAGCAAAATTTTCCCAGGCTGAGTGCTCGTGGCTCTCACCTGTAATCTTAACTACTTAGGTGGCTTAGCTCTGAGGATTGCAGTTTAAAACCAGTCCAGGCAGGAAAGTCTGTGAGACTTATTTCCAATAAACTGCTCACAAAAAGTCAGAAGTGGCACTGTAGGTCAAGTGGTTAAAGTGTTAGCCTTGAGCACAAAGAGGGATAACGCTGAGGCTATGAGTTCAAGTCCCAGGCCAGACTGGCAAAAAAATATGCATGTATATATACTAAATGGCATAGGAATAAATTTCATGCCTATTAAATGCACGTAATAAAACCTTCTTGATGCCTTTCACTGTGCGTTTGTACTTGCCAATAAGTTATAGGCATCATCAAGGCCACTACTTACTGACTGACAAGTTGTTAAATATTGCATTCAATTTTTTACATTGTTACACCATATTGTTTGGAGCTAGCTTGTCCCCTACCCTTTTGTTTTTGAGACCGGCACTTGAACTCAGTATCACTGGATGCTTTCACTCATTGGCAGTTGCCCTACTACTTAAGCTACATTTCCAACCCTGAGCTAACCTCCTAGCTCAGTAAAAACCTAGCTTTTTCTCCTTTTTGGTTTTGTGAGCAAAACTATATCTGATCATTCTTCATGTTTTCTTTACATTATTGCATATATTTCCTGTCCTTTTGGTTATCTGAGTAGGCCAGTGTTCTAGGAGCAGCACCGTTCTGTCAGATAGTATCTCTGATTACATTTAATAAATTGAGGAATTGTCTTCAGAATGTTGAACCACTACACTGGCCAGCAATGTATGAGAGTTATACCTTTTCCAAACCCTCTCCGGCTCCAAAGATTGCCATATTGTTAACGATGTGTTAAATTCTGGGCCAAAACATTGTGTGTGAGCCTGCTTTAATGTTCACTCCCTCTTTCTGTGGATATATTAGCGTTTAGTTGTTAGCATACCCTTGTATTTCCTCTTCCATGAGTTTCACATTTACAGTGGTTGGTTATTTTTAATATGATTACATGCCCCTTTTTATTAAAAAAAGAGTTGTTATAATCCTTTTGGTGCCAAGAATATTAATGTAGCCATTTTCTGTTAACGAGGTAACCTGAGTGGATGGGTGAGGTTGGAAGAAATGAGGGAGAAAGACAGAAGGTATGACCTTGATCAAGATGCATTGTACTCATAAACTGATGTGTTGAATGGAAAGCCTGTATAAGGCTACTTATCGGGAGGAACATGCTACTACCACCAACAATCTGTGCTGCAGGAGTAAGGGCAGGGCCCCAGTGGTGGCCTGTGCAGGGGTAAGGCAGGGCCCCAGTGGTGGACTATGCAGGGGTGAGGCAGGGCTCCAGTGGTGGACTGTGCAGGGGTGATCCAGGGCCCCAGAGGTGGAGTATGCAGGGGTGAGGCAGGGCCCTAGTGGTGGACTATGCAGGGGTGAGGCAGGGCCCCAGTGGTGGACTATGCAGGGGTTAGGCAGGGCTCCAGGGGTGGACTATGCAGGGGTGAGGCAGGACTCCAGTGGTGGACTATGCAGGGGTGAGGCAGGGCCCCAGGGGTGGACTATGCAGGGGTGAGGCAGGGCTCCAGAGGTGGACTGTACAGGGGTGATCCAGGGCTCCAGTGGTAAAATACCCACTTTTGTTTGTTGTTCCAATACTGGTGACATGGTCAGATTCTCAGATATTGGAAGGTATTTGGTGGGAATGATTTTTGAGCTGACTTGACGGACTGGTATAAATAATGCTTCCTTTAAGAGTCTGGGAGAACCAGATCTATGTGTGTCAAAGGTAGGTGTTACTCTTGCACACAGCAAGATCAAGAAAGGAGAAGCAAGGCGTAAGATGCTGAGCTGGGTGCCAGTGGCTCACGGCTGTAATCCTAGCTACTCAGAAGGCTGAGATCTGAGGATCGTGATTGGAAGCCAGCCTGGTCTGGAAAGTCTCCATGAGACTCTTATCTAACCATCAGAAAACCAGAGGTGGAGGAACTGTGGCTCAAAGGGCAAGCAGCCTTCAGCAAAAATTGTTCAGGGACAGTGCCGAGGCCCTGTGTTCAAGCCCCACATCTGACCAAAAAAAAAAAAAAAAAGACACTGAAAAGCTGTAAAGCTGAGCCATTGAAAGGGCGTCTCTCCTCCCATTCCATCAGCTCAGAGCCATGCTGCACCCACAGCTCGCTGTGTCCTTGCCCTCCACCTGAGCGTGGAGCCTACAGGTTCCTCAGTCACCAGAGTGTTGTGTGGCCTATTAGATCACATGGAGCAGTGTAGAAATAGCTTTATGTGATTCTTACCACCCTCATGTCTTGATGTCAATGCAACATGAAACCAGGGTTTCAAAGGCATGTGTTCTATAATGCCTTTATTTTCTACAAAGGAGGAAAAGATAACACTTTTGGGCATCAGCAGGCAGATTTATTTGAAAGCATATATGTATTAGAAGGTTATATATATAATACTCTATGTAATATATATATCTATAAGTATATGCAAAATCTCCAGGAGGAATTGAGATCTTAAAGCAGGCACTTGATTAATAGGCTGAGTGTGCCACAAGTATAAATGTAAATTTTCATCAAGGTAACTGTGAACCATGCATACTTTTCCACCCTTCTTTCAGGTGGAAGGCTGTGTTAGGGGAAGACATATAGTTTTTGTGCTCCTGGAGAACAGAATTCATAGTTCTGTTTGATAAGAAGTAAACATGTGTGTGTGTGTGTGTGTGTGTGTGTTGACAGTGTATGGTATCTGGGTTTCAATGTAGGAGTCCTATAACAAAATATCCTGAATCCATCCAGAGGAAGTATATTCAGGAGTGGATCTGAATCCTTTAATAAGGATGATAGATAATTATTTTTTGTTTATTTTTGATTGTTATTGTAAAAGTTATATGCACAGAGGTGTTAAAGTCAGGTAATGAGCACATTTCTTTTTGAATAGTGTCAACTCTTCCCTCATTTTCTCCCAGTTTTTCCCTCCCCCCGCCGAGTTGTAGAGCTTATTTTCAACATAATGTCTAGTGAGCATCACTGCTGCATTTGTTCACCTTTTGTTCCTCCATTTCTGTGTTCCCTCTTACCCTCACCAAACACAGTAACTTACATACAAGACAAAAGGTACAGAAAACAAAAACAACAACAAAAGAGAAAGAAATCTAAAACAAAAAACCCCATTTTTTGGGGTTCATTTCCATAAGCATCATTTTACAGAATCATATGCATTTAGCTGTTGAGCCTTTGTGATGCTCTCTTGTGAATAACAGATAATTACTTTAATGAAGGAATGAAGCAATCACTGCCAGTACTTAGACATGTTTGAAAAGTCCTGGTGGAATTGGTGAGTAGGTCCTAGAGGACCGAATTCAATTTCTGTCTGTATTATTCAGTGGGTGAGCTGTAACTCTGGAGAACTGACGTTAGGGGGCTGTGTAACATTGTACAGAAAGATATTCTGTACAATGATGCTTGTGATGATGAAAATCATGTGGAAGCAAACACTGATGGTTGCGGGACATCAAGACTGAACAGAGTATCTGTTAATTATTCCCTTTCAGGCGGTGAGGTGGCGCATGTGCTGTCAACCACAAAGAAACCCAAACTCCCTTTTAACAGTTGTGAAAACAGTTGATAAAACTGAGAATCAGAATACAAACATATTTTTTTCACATAGAATTACTTGTGCTCACACTATATCAATGTATTACCCTCCTCCCCACCCTTTGTTGGTTGTGGGGCTTGAACTCTGGGCCTGGGAGCTGTCCTTCAGCTCTTTAGCTCAAGGCGAGCACTCTACAACTTGAGTCACAGTGCCACTTCTGGTTTTCAGGTGGTTAATTGGAGATAAGGGTCTGACAGATTTCCTGCCCAGGGTGGCTTTGAACTGTGATCCTCAGATCTCAGCCTCCTGAGTTGCTAGGATTACAGGCGTGAGCCACTGGTGCCTGTCTCCACATCTCTCTTTCTAAAAATGGCTGTTGATGTCTTTGTGCATGTATGTCTTTTATTATATATTATATATAACTTTTATTCTTACATAACTTTTGTTTATATATGTGTGTGTATATAATTATGGATACATATAGATGTATAACAACTTATTGTATATAAATATTGTATATAACTTATATACACATACACATAATAATATATATACATATATAATACATACATACAGATTGCGAGTGCATTAATATTGTGCATTGCAGTATTTTCTAACTCATCATATGGGTTAAAGTCATTATAACCCCCAAACAAGTAATTTTAGAAATTGATAAATTCCGTAAGTTAATTGTAGCAAATGCGGTGACTTTGCAGTAGCTGGATTGGTGTCTGCTTGCCCTCTGCTCTCACATGGTGGTGGTGATGTTGAAACTGTTGCTATGAGGTGGAAGTTCCCGTGGGTTTGACTGGCCTCATCTCCACTCATTTGACAAGAACACTTTATGGACAGTCTTGTACTTGGCATGGTGTCCTATTAGAAGGTGTCCCAAGTGTAGGTGTCCGTTGGATGGGATCTGACGGATCTGATGGATCTGACTAGGAGAAATACATTCTAATAGGGTGGTAAATGAAGCTGTTTGCATGGCCCCTGGCGGCAGGAACGTATCTGATTCTGATGGTAGTTTGAGATAAACCAGGGACATTCTGCCTTTGATGGAGTGACTTTTATCCTGGCTCTTTCAATAGCCATTTTCCGACACAGATGACAGGACCACTCTCTGTCAGTATGCTTCTCAGTATTGCACACGGCAGTCTTAGATCTGTTACCTCTTGCTTTGTCCTCACAGCGCCTGGGAGTCAGTTCTCACATTCCAGGCTAGGTTGTTTGGGAACAACTTCAATCACTTTGGTAATTTTGGATCCCACAGGTAAGTAAGTTCCTGTGGTATTTGTCCCTGTGCCAGTTAACAGCTAGCACAGTGTTCTCCAGTGGCACGCGCTGCTGCAAATGGGCAGTTTCTTGTTTTCATTTTGTACCTATACCACATTTTTTAATGCTTTCCTCTGTGTCATCTGGACACAGATAATTCCATGACCTAGTAATTGTGGAGCTAGCTGCAGTGAACAAGGTAGTGCGAGCATCTCTTTGACAAGCTGGTTGCAAATATTTAGATAAACACTAGGAAGTGAGATTTCTGGATACAGCATAGTTCTATTTAAAGGGTTTTGAGGTGTCTGCACGTCATGTTTCATAGCTGTTTTCACAAACATACATTCCTCTCAATGTACAAGGGTTCCATTTCTCCACATCCTGGACAACACCATCTGTATTTTGTCTTTTTGACAACAGTCATTCAGAAAGGTGGAGATAACATCTCATATTGGTAGGAATTTTGATTTCACTAATGAATGTTAGCCCTTCTTTTTCTTTTTTTGACAGTCCTGGGTCTTGAACTCAGGCCTGAGCACTGTCCTCTCTCTGCTCAAGGCTAGCACTCTACCACTTGAGCCACTTCCAGCTTTTTCTGTGTGCTACTGAGGAATGAACGCAGGGCTTCATGCATGCTAGGCAAGCACTCTACTCTTAAGCCACATTCTCAGCCCTGGATGTTGACACTTCTTTCCAGATTTCTGTTAGAAAATTGTATGCACTTTTTTGACAAGTGTCTTAAGTTCTTGGTCCATTTTGAAATTTTTGTTGTCTTCTATCATGTTTTTTTTTTAAAAAAACTCCTTGAATCTATTGGTTATTAATAGTTTATTGGATGCAGTTTTTAACCCCTTATTGGCAGAGCTGCTTTTGAACCAGAATTGCATTGCAGAGAGGAGGGCAGGGCTGAGAGTTTCTCTCTGAGTAAGAAGTCTGACAGACTATAGGTAAAGTCTAAGTTTTATTTGGGAAACAATCCAGTATTAGTAGCTTCATTCCAAGTTAGTGTAGCTTTCCATCTTTTTAAATAATTAACGAAGTCCAAATCACTTGCACAATTCTGTTTCTGATGCCTTCAGTGCAGTACAGGGCACGCTTCTCCCCAAGTCAAAGGTTTTAATCTATTTTAACCTTGCAAGTAAGTAAATACAGATCTTAGCTCATGCTAGACATTAATCGTTGTTCCTTGGGAGCAAATAATTAACAGTGAGTATAATTTCATTTGTATGTATAGACACTTTTGTATGGTACACTTTCTTTCTTTTTTTTGGGGGGGGGAGAGGGTCCGGTGGTAGGGCCTGAACTCTGGGCCTGGGCGCTGTCCCTCAGCTCTTCAGCTCAAGGCTAGTGCTCTACCACTTGAGCCACAGAGCCAATTCCGGCTTTTTTTCTTTTTGCTTATGTGGTGCTGAGGAATCGAACCCAGGGCCTCAGGCATGCAAGGCAAGCGCTCTACCACTGAGCCACCTTCCCAGCCCGCATGGTACACTTTCTACCTGTACTTCAGCCTGCTGTATTTGAAGAGCATACAGTCTATGCAGCTGGCTTACTCCTGGCTGCTCTTCCCATGGCTCCTGCAGTCTTGCCTGCCCTCCTTCCTGTGTGTGCCTGTCTGCTGCTGGCCTCAGGCTCTGCCCAGGCAGGCAAGCTGCTGGTGGTGCCCATGGACGGCAGCCACTGGTTGTCCATGCGCTCTGTGGTGGAGAAACTCTTCCAGAGAGGGCATGAGGTGGTGGTGGTCGTGCCAGAGGTGAGTTGGCAGCTGGGACGTTCACTGAACTTCACAGTGAAGATGTACTCAACCTCTCACACGCTGCAGGATTTGGACCGGGAGTTCAAGGTTTTTCTTGACACCCAGTGGGAAACTCCAGAACAAACTGTTTTCTGCACTAACTGGCTCAGCCAAGGGATTTTATGACATCATGTTTTCACATTGTAGGAGTCTGTTTAATGACAAGAAAGTAGTAGAATTCCTAAAGAGAGAGAGAGTGTGGAACCACATCTCCCACTTGGATGGACTTTTATTTTGTACCTACTTTTTCAAAAGAGCCACTGATGCAGCCTCTGAAATTCTTCAGACCCCTGTCACCATGTATGACCTCTTCAGCCATGTGTTCATTTGGTTGTTGAGATCTGTCTTTGTCTTGGAGTCTCCCAGTTCTGTGATGCCCAACATGGTCTACGTTGGTGGAATGAACTGCCACTGGGGAAATCTACTACCCAAGCTAAGACTTCCCTCTTTGGCATCACTCAGTGACCTGGGCTTGGACAGTGACATTCTTTGCTAAACTGTGATTTGTCATTTATGCTTGGCACAGTTTAGATCTATTGTTTTACTTATACATTTTTCTTTTGTGGTCGTGGGGCCTGAACTCTGAGCCTGTGCACTGTTCCTCAGCTCTTGCTCTCAAAGCTAGTGTTCTACCATTTGAGCCACAGCACCACTTCTGGCTTTTTCTGCTTATGTGGTACTGAGGAATTGAACACAGGACCGCATACATATGAGGCAAGCATTCTACCACTGATCCACCTTCCCAGCCCCAGATGTATATAATATTCTTTTTTTGTCAGTTGTGGGGCTTGAACTCTGGGCCTGGGCGCTGTCCCTCAGCTCTTCACCTTAAGAGTAGCGCTCTACCACTTGAGCCACAGAATTACTTCCTACTTATACATTTTAATTTAATTTTGGTTAGCAAACTTCATAAACCTCCCTTGTTAACATGATTGTATATACAATTAGTATAATTATATATAAATTCCTGGCCTTAATTTTTAATATTGGTCTTCACATTCCCTGCAATTCTCTGTTTATTTCAATCCTCTCTTTCCTATATAACATGCTTTAGTAATTTTCTTTGCTTGTCTTCCAATTTCTGTAAGTTATCTAATGTAAGCATATATCTATCTTATACATCCACCCTAACTTTCCTATAATAAGATATAATGATGATTGGCCCACACTACTTGTTACTTTATATTTTTCACTTATCACCAAAGTGTGAATGTGCTCATTAGCCACTACTGAGAAACTTTACCTGTCCTTTTACAGTTGCTTTAAAATATTGAGAACATGATTTCAAGTTTTATACAGCTTAACCATAAAGATATGAGAGTTTTGGTTTGTTGGTCTTTTTTATCAGTCGTGGGGCTTGAACTCTGGGCCTGGGCATGGTCCCTCATCTCTTCAGCTCAAGGCTAGCGCTCTACCACTTGAGCCACAGTACCACTTCTGGCTTTTTCTGCTTATGTGGTACTGAGGAATTGAACCCAGTGACTCATACATGCAAGGCAAGCACTCTACCACTGAGCCACCTTCCCAGCCCCGCATTAGTTAATGTTAACTAGGGCTGTTTTTCTTTTTCTTTTTTTTTTGTAACTAATTGCTACAGGCCTTTTAAGACTAGCAGTTAAAGTTTGCCTTTTAATATTTATTACAAATAATTTTGTTGTAGTCTTTGTCTTTTTTCATAAATTATTTTCACTGCCTTATAGTCTAATTAGTTATTTTTTTATTTAGCTGCTTTGCAATTTTAACTGGTTTAAGACTTTCCAAACTTTAGAAATAGAAACATGTTCTTCCTTTTTGTTTTCATGTTTTGACCATGTTCCCCTAATTTTTTTCTTCAGTAAGACCTTAATGTGCAATTCTGTATGAGTTGAGATGTATTACTTTTCCTAAAGCATAGTTATTTTCCTATTACATTTCAAGTATAGTTGCATCCTTCATCCATGGAAATGAACTGTATTTTTATGTCTTAATTTATTATATTCTTTGTATCTGCTTTTGAATTCTCACTTTGTCTCACTGGCTTATTTATTTATGTATTGTAGCACATACTTTGGTTAAGCAGCTATAGATTAAGTAGTAATGGTTAATATAGAAGCCCCATACATTATTCATTTTTATTATTATCTTTGAGTAGTTGTATAAAGGAGTTACCATATAGCAAAGCAGTTTATGAATGCAGTATATCTTGATCAATATCCCATTCCATTCCATATCCTCACCCTTCCCTCCTATCCCCTCCTCTTCCCGTACTCTGAACTTTGTAGGATATACATTGGATTCTTGACTGCATCCTCGCCATCTTCTCTTCCTCATTTATCTACCCCCTTTCCTTTCCTTGAGTCCACTCCACCCCTTTGAGAACCTTGTGTTTTTTTTAAACTGACCTTATATTTGCCTTTCAAAAGAATTACATCTTTTAGATTTGGATCAATATTACTTACTTGTATCATTCTTTTTTTTTTTTTTTTGTCGGTCGTGGGGCTTGAACTCTGGGCCTGGGTGCTGTCCCTCAGCTCTTCAGCTCAAGGCGAGCGCTCTACCACTTGAGCTACAGCGCCACTTCCGGTTTTCTGGTGGTTTATTGGAGATAGGAGTCTCATGGTCTCTCCTGCCCTGGCTGGCTTTGAACCGTGATACTCAGATCTCAGCCTCCTGAGTAGCTAGGATTACAGGCGTGAGCTACCAGCACCCAGCTACTTGTATCATTCTTTATGATCTTTCTGCCTCTGTATTTTCTCTGTCCTCCCCTCAGTGTGTCTTTTTCTGATATGACAAGGCCTTGCATTTGGAAATCAAATTTCATTCAATTTTGTAAACCATGTCAACAACTGAGGCTTGTGCCCAGTATTCCAAGTTCAAAGAACATGTCCTACTGAGTGGGTAGCTGTTCTTGAATTTTAGGGGAGAGAAGAAATATGACAGATGAAATTTGTCCAGTTTTTGACATCAATTTACTGAGTTTTGTGTTTCAAAGACAATGATTTGAAAGAACTAAGTCCCCATCAAATCGTGACTAAGCAATTGTCTATCAGCAAGGTCCTGTAAAGAGTCATTTTGTATAGTTCAAAATGATCAGGCCTGGGCTGGGAAGGTGGCTCAGAGGTAGAGCACTTGCCTTGCATGCCTGAGGCCCTGGGTTCGATTCCTCAGCACCACATAAGCAAAAAGAAAAAAGCCAGAAGTGGTGCTGTGGCTCAAGTGGTAGAGCGCTAGCCTTGAGCTGAAGAGCTGAGGGACAGCACCCAGGCCCAGAGTTCAGGCCCCATGACCGGGCCCCCCACCCCCACAAAAAAAAAGATCAGGCCTGTACGTTGCTTATATAACCTCTCAGCAAATGTTCCTCACATCTCCCAACACATGTTAGGGTTCATACTTGAAAGCATATAAATCTGCGAATGTATTTGAAGGCAATGCAACAGATGTTCCCAGTGTGCTTCCTATGTTCAGGCCTAATGTGTGCTCAGTGAAAGGAGGAGAAAATTGTGAAGCAGTCACATTCAGGACCACAAGGAATGCTCAGAAGTGTGGGAGTCAAGTAATGAGACTTTGTAAGTGGCTGACAGATGGAACCAGTGACACAAGTCATGATCTCTGTGTACAGCATGAAAGCACACGTGAAACAAGGACATTTCGATGCAGCCAGTAGGTGTCTGCCTATTCCTTTAGATGGATCAGAGCAAAGTTAAGGAGAGCATGTGCAAATCCTCTCAGATCTCTGGAGTGTCCACCATGGTGTGCGGTCTTACTCCATCACCTCACAAGTCTCGGCAATGGAACATCATCCTGCTGGGAACAGACAAGTTAAGCAGCAGAGCCACCTAATGGCAGAGTCGCTTCAGAGGCACAGAGTTCCACCACAGTGAGGGGGCAGGGCGGGGATCTCCCAGTCTTTCCTTGGAGGCTGAGTGCCAGTTTTTTTTTTTTTTTCTGAATAAGAAGTCTTTGTTAGATTTAGGTAAAGTCCAAGTTTATTTGGGAAACAATGCAGTATTAGCCACTTTATTCGTTTAGTGTAGCTCTTCATCTTTCTACAGTGTCAAAGGCCAAACCCATTGCGTAATGATGTCAGTAGAGGGCATGCTTATCCCCAAGGCAAAGGTTATAAGCAATTCTGACATAGATAACATGTACAGGGATATTAGCAATTGCTTCTCATTAATCATTATTCTTTTGAGTAAATCTTCAACAGCAAGTGGAGCTTTCTGTACAAAGTGTGTGCATCCACTGTATCCAACACACATTTTCTGTTTGTCCTTACTGCACCTGCTGTACAGTGTCTAACTGCAGATTGCGCCTGGCTGCACTGCCCATGGCTCCTGCAGTCTTGCCTGCCCTCCTTCCTGTGTGTGCATGTCTGCTGCTGGCCTCAGGCTCTGCCCAGGCAGGCAAGCTGCTGGTGGTGCCCATGGACGGCAGCCACTGGTTGTCCATGCGCTCTGTGGTGGAGAAACTCTTCCAGAGAGGGCATGAGGTGGTGGTGGTCGTGCCAGAGGTGAGTTGGCAGCTGGGACGCTCACTGAACTTCACAGTGAAGACGTACTCAACTCCTCACACGCTGGAGGATTTGGACCGGGAGTTCAAGTTTTTTGCTGATACTCAGTGGAAAACTCGGGAAGACAATATGTTTGCTCTAGCAACAGGTTCTGCTAAAGGTTTTTTTGATATTGTTTTTTCACTCTGTAAGAGTTTGTTTAATGACAAAGAACTGATAGAGTACCTACGTGAGAGTTCTTTTGATGCAGTGTTCCTGGATCCTTTTGACATGTGTGGCTTAATTGTTGCCAGGTATTTTTCACTCCCGTCTGTGCTCTTTTCCAGAGGAACGTTTTGCTCTAATCTGGAAGAAGGAACCCAGTGCCCCAGTCCTCTTTCTTATGTTCCCAGATGGTTCCAGGGCTTATCGCATGCCATGACTTTCAGAGAGAGAGTGCGGAACCACATTTCCTTCCTGACAGAACATCTATTTTGTCCTATATTTTTTGAAAAAGCCATAGAAGCTGCCTCTGAGATTCTCCAGACCCCGGTCACTACATATGACCTGTTCAGCCAAGTGTCGATTTGGTTGTTGAGAACTGACTTTGTCTTGGACTTTCCCAGACCTGTGATGCCCAACATGGTGTACGTTGGTGGAATCAACTGCCACCGGGGAAAGCCACTGCCGAAGGTAGGACTTTTCTCTTTTGGGGGTGTTTCTCCTTTGTCTCCAACAGCCTGAGCTTCAGGGTTAGGTGGTTTAATCTGGGGTCTCTGAGTTTCTGAGGTAGGTGCTCCTAGCGGTGCAGTGTCCTCATCACGTTGCTTTCCTGGCTCCGCGGTTCTATTCAGTGTGTTGGCATTTTTGTTTCAGTGTCCAAGTTTTGAGATTTCTTTCCTGATTTCTTCCGTGTCCCACTGACGATTCAAACACCTGTGTTCAATCTTTATCTCTTTGAATAGCACGTGTCGTGTTCCTTGATACTGATCTTTATTCTATTATGGATATAGAAACCTGAAAGTCGAATTGTGTTTTGTGAAGTTTGTTTTATGGCTTAGGATATGATCTGGTTTGGGAAAGGTACTGTGGGCACTTGAGAGATTTCAATTCTTCTTTAAACACAGGGCATTATTATTCCACAGTTGGCTAAATTTATAGGTCATCAAGGGCATTGTTGAGTTGTAATGTGTCTGTGTTGAATTTTTTTTTTAACCAGAACATTCTATCTATTGATCAGATTGGGCCATTGGGCTCAACCACAAATGTTGTGTCTTGACTTTTGTATTTATGATTAGTAATATTTGTTTAATAATATTTGGAGTGTGCTATCACTGAGTATATGTATATTTATAATGGTTATAAGTTCTTGATGAATTGCCCCTTCTGTTAATATACACTGACATTCTTTACCTCTTCTGACTAATTTCTACTTGAATTTTCTTTCTATAATAAGAATGTAAATTCTCTTTTTTTTTGTACTTCTGCTTGATGGTGTGTCTTTTTCCAACTTCACATTGTTTTGTGTGTATGCGTATATGTGTGCTGGTCCTGGGTCTTGAACTTGTCCTGGATGCTGTCCCTGAGCATTTGTACTCAAGGCTGGCACTCTATTACTTGAGCCATAGCTCTACTTCTGGTCTTTGGTGGTTCATTGGAGAGGAGAGTCTCCCAGACTTTCCTGCCTGCGCTGATGTTGAAACCTGTTCCTTAGATCTCAGCCTGCTGAGTAGCTAGGATTCCAAGTAGGAGCCACCAGGGCTGGGAAGGTGGCTCAGTGGTAGAGCGCTTGCCTTGCATGCATGAGGCACTGGTTCAATTCCTCAGCACCACATAAGCAAAAAGAAAAAAGTCAGAAGTGGTGCTGTGGTTCAATTGGTAGAGCGCTAGCCTTGAGCTGAAGAGCTGAGGGACAGCGTCCAGGCCCAGAGTTCAGGCCACACAACTGGAACCCCCCCCCCCCCCCCCCCCCCGCCAAAAAAAAAAATCAAGTAGGAGCCACCAGTACTCAGCTGTCTCCTGCCTTTTAATCCAATGAAACAATGTGTGTTTTTTAATAGAAGATTCAACACATAGCTGGTCACTGGTGGCTCACGCCTGTAATCCTAGCTACTCATGAAGCTGAAATCTGAGGATCCCAGTTGAAAGCCAGCCCAGGCAAGAAAGTCCGGGAGATTCTTATCTCCAATAAACTCCCAGAAAACCAAAAGTGGCACTGTGGCTCAAGTGGTAGAGCCTGGTCTTGAGCTGAAGAGCTCAGGTATAGTGCTCATGCCCAGAGTTCAAGCCCTACAACCGACAAAAAAATTTAAACACATTAAAATATAATTTCATTATTATTAACATGTTATCCAGAGGGTTGGGATTTCATGTCAGTTAATAAGTACAATTCTTTTTGGTGCCTCCTTCCTTAGCTTTCCTGCAGTTTTTCCCTCCCATCCCTGCCCACAATTTCACTTTCCACAATGTATACTGAATCCCATGATTGCATTTGTTCACCCTCCCTCCTTCCATTAAGCATACTCCCTTTTGTTCCCTTAAGAAGAAAAAACAAAAACAAACAAAAAATCCCCAGCAGAAAACAAAGCACCACCACCAGCAGCACCACCACGAAGCGGGATCTGTTTTGACCACTAATATTTTAAAAGTTCAGAGGAGTTACACCTTTAGGTTCCTTCCTTAAAAATATCTTCCTTCAGTCTATTTGTGTGTGAATGCCTGGAGTCCTGTACAAGCTATCATGTCCAGTTGTATTTTAGATTTAGCTTTGAGGGTAATTCCATTATTCCAGGGTTTCCCTCAAATGTTTTCTAGGAGTTTTATATTTTCTGGTTTTTAAAGTGTTTAGTCCATTTTGAATTTTTAAATAGGGTATAAGATAAGTTGAAGTTTACTCTTCTTCATGTGGATTTTCAAGTTTTCCATTATCATTTATTGATGAACCGATCCTCTCCCCATTACATATTCTTGATTTCTCTCTGGAAAATCAATTTTGTGTATGTGTGTGTGAGTTGTGGGGTTTGAACTCTGGGCCTGGGCGCTGTCCCTCAGCTCTTCAGCTCAAGGCTAGCGCTCTACCACTTGAGCCACAGTACTACTTTCAGCTTTTTTTTTTTTCTGCTTATGTGGTGCTGAGGAATCAAATCCAGGGCCTCATGCATGCAAGGCAAGCGCTCTACCACTGAGCCACCTTTCCAGCCCTGGAAAATCAGCTGTGCTCGGTCAAGGCTGCTGTTGAAGGTTCTAGTTTGTCAGCTCAAACACTGCATTCTTCATCTCAAAAAGTTCTACTGGGTGCTTCTTTTATTGTCTTCTGTTGTCCAACTGGATTTTTCCATGTATTGCTTTCCAAATGTCATCATACATGTGTCCATATATTCTTTTCTATTTTTTTTTTTTTTTGTCTGTCGTTGGGCTTGATCTCTGGGCCTGGGTGCTGTCTCTCAGCTCTTCAGCTCAAGGCTGGCGCTCTACCACCTGAGCTACATAGCCACTTCTGTTTTCTGATGGTTAATTGAAGAGTCTCACAGATTTTCCTGCTTGAGCTGGCTTTGATCTGCAATGCACTCCTGAACAGCTAGGATTTCAGGTGTGAGCCACCAGCACCCATTTTAAATATTCTCTCTCTCTCTCTCTGTTTTTTTTTTTGTTGGTCTTAGAGCTTGAACTCTATGCCTGAGCACTGTCCCTCAGCAATTCAGCTCAAGGTGAGCACTCTACCACTTGGGCTACAGCACCACTTCCAGTTTCCTGGTGGTTTATTGGAGAAAAGAGTTTCACAGACTTTCCTGCCCAGGCTGGCTTTGAACCTCGATCCAGATCTCAGCCTTCTGAGTAGCTAAGATTACAGGTGTGAGCCACCGGTGCCCAGCTTAAATAATTCTTTTAAATAGTTATTATGAAGGTGATGTATAGGGAGGTTACAGTTTTCACAAGCCACGTAATGAGTACATTTCTTTTTGGACAGTGCCACACCTTCTCTCACTTTCTGCGAGTTTTTCCCTCCTTTTCCCACCCACAAGTTGTGTGGTTCATCTTCAATATAGTGTCTAACAAGTTCCATTGCTGCTTGGGCTGGGAATGTGGCTTAGTGGTTGAGTGTTGCCTAGCATGCATGAAGCCCTGGGTTTGATACCTCAGTACCACATAAACAGAAAAGGCCAGAAGTGGTGCTGTGGCTCAAGTGGTAGAGCAGTATCCTTGAGCACAGAGAGGCTCAGGGACAGCGCCCAGGCCTGAGTTCAAGTCCCAGGACTGGCAAAAAATATATGTACCACTGCTGTAGTTGTTTACCCTTTGTCCCTCCATTTCTATGCCCCCATTTCAACTTGCAATGACAGATAAATGTACAGAAAAAGACAAAAAGAAAACAAAAACAGCAACAAAATCACCTCTTGTTTCATTTTCCTGGAGTTCATTTCTATACTAATAATAGCTATTATTATATATAATTGTAGTTACTATTACAATTACTATTATTGTCAGTCAGTGTGGCCTGAAGAGCTCTATAGCACCAATTCTGGTTTTCTGGTGGCTCATTGGAGATAAGTGTCTCAAAGGCTTACCTATCCAGCTGGCTTTGAACTAGAATCCTCAGATCTCAGCCTCCTGAATAGCTGGGATTTCAGGCGTGAGCCACTAGCGCCTCTGATCAATATTATTTTATATGATCAGAGGCACATGGACTTTGGTCTTTTTGTTCCAGTCCTAAGAGTGTCCTACTTTGGTCTCACTGTGTGTGAATGTCTTAGTATATTTTAGATCTGTCTTCCGCATATGAGAGAAAACTTGCACCTTTTGTCCCTCTGAACTGGTCTTACCTCATTTATCATGATTTGTTCTAGGTCCATACATTTCCCTGCAAATGACATATTATTCTCTCTAATGGCTGTGTAAAATTCCATTGTGTTCCGGAACCACTGTTTTGGATCTGCTCATCTCTTGTAGGGCATCCGGATTGTCTCCAGAGTGTGGTTGCTGTGAATAGTGCAGAAGTGCACGTGGATGTGCAAGTGGCCTTATGGTTTCCTGGCTTTGATGCCGAGGCGTGGTGTGCTGGGTTATAGGAAGATCTGTTTAGATTTTTGAGGAACCTCCAGACTGCTGTCCACTGTGGTTGTAGTAGTTTACAACTCCCACCAGCAGTGCAGTAGAGTTCCTTTTTCCCCACATCCCCACCAACCTTTGCTGTTGTTTGAATACACAAGGTTGGCCAATCTGAGATGGAATCTCAAAGTTGTTTGATTAGCATTTCTTTTATGGCCAGGGATGTTGAGTATTTCCTGCTATGTTTCTTTGCCATTGTTAAGTCTTCTTCTGAGAAGTCTCTTCTTAGCTCCTTTGGCCATTTAGTGATTGGTTTATTAGCTTTGGGTGGAGTTTTCTTGAGTTCCTTGTATATTTTGGCCTTGTCTAATTATTGCTCCCAGTCTATTGGCTGCCTTTCTTGTTTAGTAACTATGTCCATTTCATGCAGAAACTTTTTTATTTTGATGTAATCCCATTTGCCAGGTCTGTTGTCTGTCTGCTATGTCCCTGGGACTCTTTGAAAAGGTTCTCTGTATGCCTGCAAGTCCTAATGTTTCTCCTCCTTCCTCTTGCAGTAATTTCAAAGTCTGCAGTCTGATGTTGATGTCTTAGATCCACTTTGAGTTGATTTGTGTGCATGGTGATAGAGATACATTTTAGGTTTCTAAGTATGGATTCCAACTTATCCCTTTTCCACTGTGTGTCTTTGGCTTCGT